ATTCGAACCCACCACCTTAGGTGTATGTGGCTGGTGCCTTAGCCGCTTGAGCCACAGGCACCGAGCCTACACATTTTCAAAATATGTTTTAACCTGGTAACAACAGTTACTAGTTTTTATTTTTAAATGTTCTTTTTTTTCACATCTGTACTCAAATATTTTATTGGCGTCAGCAATTACATCTCGTTATATTGTACTTGTAGACCCTTTATCAGAAGTTTAGTGCTACCTTTCTGTTTTTGGCTTTGAACTCTCAAGTATGATTCAAAGTGTTTCGTGCACCATCATTATAACAATACAGAATTTCATGGAAGTGTACTTAGTTAACCGTTTTTACATAATTTAGAATTGTTGTCTAGCATGCCTTCCTTTGACATTTCTTATGTGGCAGCTTTTAGCATCTGTTCATCATGATAGACATTTATTTTTTCTTTGTTTAGAATGGCAGTTTGGCTTTGAAGTTTTTGTTCTTCCCGCACTTTGACTATATCCTCCAACTTTTATTAGAGACAGAGTCTTACTTTGTCCCCTGCAGTAGTATACCGTGGTGTCACAGCTCACGCAACCTCCCCCTTCTCAGCTTGTGTGATTCTCTTGCCTCAGCCTCTCAAGCAGCTGGGACTACAAGCACCTACCAAAGCACTCGGCTATGTTATTATTAATATTTACCAGCTTTTCATTTTTATACTTTATGTGCACACACAAAATTTATTTATCTGTCTATTTGTTTATTTATTTGAAACTGAGTTTCTGTCACCCTGTGTGGAGTGCAGTGTTGTCATCACTCACAACATCCTCAATATTCTGCGCTCAAGAGATCTTCTTGCCTCAGCCTAATGAATTGCTGGGATTACAGGCATGTGCCACCATGTCTGACTATTATTTATGGGACAGATATGGTCAATTCTTGCTTAGGTTGATCTTGAAAACCTGTGCTGTATTGATCTATTCACCTCAGTGTCCCAGAGTTCTAGGATTACAAACATGAGCCAATGCACCCAGGCTCTGTGGTGTCTCTACAACTTCTGTTCACCTGCTATGCTGCAAGTTCCTAAATGCAATATTTATTTACCTTTAAGGTAATTCATGCCTGTGTACTGTATTATGCCATCTTCCTAATGATCTTGGCACAATGTTGCAGATAAAATGTGTAATGTGTATTTACTCCATTCTGATAAAAGTCAGTGGCTAAAATGGCTCTTGTTTAAATTTCTTTCAGCTGTTTCTAACCATCCTGAGCAAGACCAATTGCAAGATCTGGACACAAATGTTTTATTCCCAGAGATAATCCTGAGGAGATATCGAAACTGTGCACCTGACAATTTAAACTTAACAAAAGACTGTGCAAGTGTGTCTGAGTGTAAGCAGCAGAAAGTATGTGACAGTGGACTTGACCACTGTTTAAAGGCTGCCCATACCAAAACCTTCCAATGTAGTAAATGTTTGAAAGTCTTCACACAATTGTCAAATCTAAGTAGACATAAGATGATAGATACCGTAGGGAAAACATTTCACTGTATAAAGTATGGGAAAGCCTCTAACCCAAGCTCACATGTTAGTAAACATGAGATAATTCATATTGGAGAAAAACAGTACAAACGTAAAGAAGGTAGCAGAGTCTTCAGATGTTGCTCAAACCTGTCTAAGCATAAGAGACATCCTACTGGAGAAAAACTCTACAAGTGTGAAAATGATGGCAAATGTCTTAGCCGCAGATCAAAATATCGTACACATAACAGTGTTGATAGTGGAGGAAAACCCTACAATTATGAAGATTGTGACAAACTTAACAAGCAACACTCACACCTTTCTGGACATCAAAGAATTCATTCTGGAGAGAAACATTACAAATGTCAAGAATGTGGCAAAGGCTTTAACTGCTACTCAACCCTGTCTATACATGAAAGAATTCATTCTGGAGAGAAACCCTACAAATGTCAAGAATGTGGCAAAGCCTTTAACCAGTACTCAACCCTGTCTAGACATCAAAAAATTCATTCTGGAGAGAAACTCTACAAATGTCAAGAATGTGGCAAAGCCTTTACTCTTCGTTCTGGCCTTACTAAACATCAAAGAATTCATTCTGGAGAAAAACCTTTCAAATGTCCAGAATGTGGCAAAGCCTTTCACTATAACTCAACCCTGTCTAGACATCAAAGAATTCATTCTGGAGAGAGTCCCTACAAATGTCAAGAATGTGGCAAAGCCTTTAGTCTTAGTTCAAGCCTTACTCAACACCAAAGAATTCATTCTGGAGAAAAACCCTGCAAATGTCAAGAATGTGGCAAAGCCTTTCGCTGTAACTCAACCCTGTCTAGACATCAAAGAATTCATTCTGGAGAGAAACTCTACAAATGTCAAGAATGTGGCAAAGCCTTTATTCTTAGTTCTAGCCTTACTAAACATCAAAGAATTCATTCTGGAGAGAAACCCTTCAAATGTCAACAATGTGGCAAAGCCTTTCGCTATAATTCAGACCTTTCTATACATCAAAGAATTCATTCTGGAGAGAAACCCTACAAATGTCAACAATGTGGCAAAGCCTTTACTTTTAGTTCTAGCTTTACTAGACATCAAAGAATTCATTCTGGAGAGAAACCTTACAAATGTCAACAATGTGGGAAAGGGTTTCACTGTAACTCAGACCTTTCTGTACATCAAAGAATTCATTCTAGAGAGAAACCCTTCAAATGTCAAGAATGTGGCAAAGCCTTTCAGTATAACTCCTACCTTTCTGTACATCAAAGAATTCATTCTGGAGAGATACCCTACAAATGTCAACAATGTGGCAAAGCCTTTACTGTTCGTTCTAGGCTTACTAAACAT